AAAGATATGTTAATTGTTCTCCATCGGTATTAAATTCCTTGTTATAAACAGAATTGCAAATTCACGATCGGAATCGGGGACGAGACTGAGTTCTGTAATAAACAACGTCTATCCAAATGGTAATATTTGTCAACGACCTCCACTGATCCACGAACCAACGATATTTGCGGTTGTTTCATCCAATTATTTATTTAGTACTAGTCATTTGCTATTCTTGGTTGGTCGCCTGTCGCCAACCAAGAACCTATATCTACGTTCTACTCCTTCCTATGTAGGTACTATAGGTAAATAGAAGTTTTTGTAAAGAGAGATAATAGGCTCACACTCTATTACATGGGACTCATAACATAAATAGTGAAAAATGGGTGTTACATTGTACAGTGGCATAAAGTGCATCTCTGCCTACCACTTCGGGGAAAGAAGGCGTGATGTTATGTTATGTTGTAAGATGAAAGATGCCATGAGCCCTAGCGTACACAGCTCAACTCACGAGGAAGAGCCCTTTGTGGATCGAAACTAGTAGAGCTTTTCTCAATATATTCACGTGAGTAACCCGCGATTTTTAATTAATTTAGTATGGCTCACGATAGTTATTATACAAAATATGATATACAAAAATTTACGAAATCCTAAAACTATTTATGTAGTAATATTATTTTTGTATTGATTGGAACAATTATTTATAACAAACCAAAAGTACACAGTCAAGAGTATACAATACGGATGTATAAAATACCACTTGTATTCTAAAGCCAGACAAGAACGCTGGTATCATTGTGCTCTAAAGAACCCAGCGAATATCTCTAGCTCTAGGGAACGAAACGAGGGAACAAAGCCAGCACTATTCCTTTCAAATATTGGGAGTTTATAGGAAGAGCGTTCATAGGGGACTGATAGATTGATTTGAATTGAATTGATGTGACTTCGTAATATTTATGGAGTTTGAGAGATGGAAAGCATGTTATGCTTTGAGAGTATATTATGTACCTGATCTTAAGGATTCCTTGGATTTGTTTACTAAAAAGTGGGTTCAGTAAGAAACTACAGTTGCATTCGCGTTGTCTCTGTGTTTATAGACAGACACTAGAACAAATAGGGATGATGACAAGGTATGAAAATTAAAAATGTAATTAGTCCGTAAGTTAGGTAATGAAAAAATATTGGAGACGTATTTTTTTATTATGTCGTATAATAAAATAATACTTAATAAAATGAATCAAAGTTTAGGAGTGTGGGTTAAAACGTCATTACTGCGTATTTTTAAATGTACATAGAAGTGACGTCACGCGACATTTCAAATCATTATATTGTCGAAAGTATTCGTATTCGTTTCCGTAAGAAAATAAAAAAATACCAGACGGACATTAAAATAAAAATTAGGCATCTACCCTATTCTAGGGTTTAATGGGTCGCCGATGATAATTTATTGGTTGTAATCAAGTTGTCATTTGAAGTGATATCCACCATAAAAATACAAAATACGTATGCGCTTTTTTGGTTTAGCAAGCTGGCAGTATAACTATTATGTGTTAAGTGAATAGGGCTCTTAAAGTCTGTTATACATATTGGTTCTCTTCAACATACTCTTTTAGATGATAACAGCTATTAAGTTGCGTTATATTACACGTTTTTCATGTACTCTTTTATTGACCTATTTCGTTACATCTCTCAATGAATTTATTCAAATGTATTCGTCTTTGCAGTCAATGAATAAATAAGAGACAATTTCGTTTCATATTTATTATTAGCTACAAAGAAGGTCCAATCTTTGATTAGGTTGTATTTATAGTCGTCTGTGGGCGGCTTATTGATTCCATTACCCATGATATTATAATGACACACAGGTGAATGTACAGTCGACGAGCAAAAGGAAAGTACTATAAGAAAATATATTTTTTTTCTGTAATGATTGAGAATTAGTGTCATTTTCGAAATTTTCTTCTAATTATAGTGAAGATGACTTGTGACCTTTTACCTAGCTTTGATATATTTTGTGTAATTTCTAATTATTAGTTTAAAACCGCCCACCTACATTGAGCAAGCGTGGTGATTAATTCTCAAACCTTCTCCGTACGAGATACTGTAGTCGGCAGTGGGCATTTATAGGCTGTTGATGATGATGTTAACATGTAGGTGAAATTAGTGCTCTTTTGGTTGTTTTATTAATTAATATTCAGTGTGCAATAACTAAGACATCGTGTGCAAAGAGACCCAAAATTACTTTAGAATCCATTGTAACGATACTGTAAAGATGCTAGAAAATTTTCCCCGGACAGTATTTTTTTCATTCGACTGTACAATGTACATTGCCAGTTGATATCGATACATCGAAGGCTTTATTTGTGTAAGATATTATTGGTTTGTTTTTTTATCTGATATTTATTGTTACATATAGGTACTTACCTACATAGGTATAAAATCAATCTTTATCTTTGGATCTGGTGGGTACACGAGCACATCACACGATGTCTAATCTACTCGTTTCTTTCGAAAGGTCAACTATCAATGTCACACTGAAATCAATATAAGCCTTGTTTCGAATATAATTAGGTCTTTAGGTATAGGTATAATATGTAATAGGTATGTATACACAATGGGTACAATTATCACTGTTTTATTGTTAATCCATAGGACGCAAGTTCAAAGATTTTTATTGATTGTGCCTCTGCCTTAATTCTGACTTGGTTTTTCATCATCAACAGAGGCTTTGCTCAGCAGTGGGCATTATAAATGCCTCTTCTCACACGGAGAAGGTTTGAGCATTAATCACCACGCTTAGCGCTTGCTCAATGCGGGTTGACGATTACAAACTTATAATTAGAAATTATAAGCCCAGGTTTCCTCACGATGTTTTCCTTCACCGTTTGTCAGTGGTGTCTGAATAATCTTAGAAAGTACATATAACTCGGAAAAAGTCACATTGGTACTTGCCGTTGGTAGGTTTCGAACCCGCACCCTTATGCATGAGAAGCGGGCGCCTTAAACCTCCTGGCAATAAATACTTTGAACAAAACAATACTTAATCCTGTCCAAGACAACAATATTCTCTGTAAACAGAGTTTATTCGAAATATAGTGCAAATAGTTAGTTATACATTAGATGCAGTGATTATTGTGAGCGTTCCCCTCTTCCATTGTTAATTGCAAACAAAACTGGCGATCCCTTCCGGCCGGATATTCTCGTGAGCTTACACTATGCGATGCTAGTCACACCGTATGTTTGACGTACTTAGGGTTGTCGATAAATATAAGAAATAATTGTTATATATAACCGACTTAAAACAAAAAGATTTTTATTTTGACCTGTATATATGTTTGTGCGCAATTATCTACCAATTGCTTGAACCGAATTAGGTGCGGTATTTTAGAATAGTGTTTGTTTAACTTAGGAAAAGGTTTAAGTATATCAATGAACCGACTTCAAAAAAGGGGGTTGATGTCGGTACACTACGTCAGTTGTTAATTAGAATTCTACTAAGTTTTATCAGTTTTACTTACCTACCTACGTACCTAAATTATAAAAGTTATATTGAACTCCTTGTATTTATTCGTGTAAATTCAGTTTACATACAAGTTTAACGTAGAAAGAGCTTAACATACCAATTTTAACTTTGTCCAATTTTGATCGAAAGTGCACGCACCGCTTTGAATAAACGACCTCATTTCAAACTAAGTTATCCAAGTTACAATAAAGTTATAGCAATTGAAATGAATTATGTATACAACGTTGGCTGTGGCAGAGTAGTCATAGGAGTAGGCAACTGCCGAACGCGAGGTCCTTAGGGTGCATTAGATATTATTGGGTTTCAATTTAAAAAATTAAGCTCCAATCTATCTGGCATTTAGAATACAAAAGGTTTCTGGGTATATTCTAAAGATCCTCATACAGAAATCGCATCACAAACTATAAAATTGTCGGATGATCTAGTTCTATCTATGTCTTTAGGTACATATTTGATTAAATCTTTCTAGAAGTCGGTTAAAATATGACATAAAATGTAGTTTAGAATGTAATACGTTTATTTATTTTTTATATTTGATGGGCCGACGTTTGACTACTATCTCGCCTGGTGGTAGCCGATGATGCAGTCTACGATGGAGTACATGCCCCCATAAGCAACCTATTCACTCAGGCCTTGAAGACACCCAGGTTATACCCTTCAGGAAATACAGACTCTGGAATGTATTCCACTCCTCAATAGTACAAGCAGCTTGATGCGCTTTATTAATCCTAAAAAATCATAACAGAGCAATAATATCCTATCATTTAAAATAGGATACGTTTTTATTATCAAATATCATTAGGATTTATTTATTTGTTACACATATTTTCTTCATTATTATTGTCTCTACACTACAAATATGTAACAACCCTAGCTTCGAAAGAGATATTCTTCCCGTGGCGCTACTGGCAGCGGCTCAGCGTATCATTGTATGGCGTATATCGGCATTGTTTTGAAACATTTTGAACATATTAATCGGTCTGTCGCTTTTCAGACTAGCTTATAGAGAAATTTCGACTGATATTTAAATGAAGCTGCATAGGCTGTGTTTATTACGATGCCGAGGGATTTAACCATATGCTACCTAAGCTGCTGGTCATTGTAGTTTATAAAAGCGACTGAAAGTAGGCATCCGGAATCAATTTGTAGAATAACATATTATTTTTTAATTTAATAAATAACTATGTGTTATGTAACCCTTGGAATTCGACAAAAATTATAATTTTAAGTGTAAATTATTATGTTTTCGGCTTACTCACGTGATAATTTGACGAGGAACTCGACTAGTTTCAAGCCACGCTAGAGGCTCATATTCATAAGCAGCATTTCGCGACCCGCGACGCGGCGACTGTCGCAATGCTACTCAACATAATAATTTATTTAGTATGTCTCACGAAAGATACAATACAATTTTAAGTGTTTCGAACATATTAATTCATGACTAATTAATTGGACACATTCGTTTTATAAATTTCAATGTTATTTTATCTCATTTCAGGTTTCGTTTCTACGTATATTCAGCGTATGTGGAGCGGCGGACGGTAGCGGCAGTGCGCATCATTGCAGCCACTAAGACAAGGGGAGCGGACAGCGTAATGTGTCGCTTATGGCTAGTTAACAACCGTACACTCACACTTAAAGCCAAAGTCAAAGTAAGTTTGAGTAAATTTTAACCGTGTCGATAAAAGATAAACATTTTATCAGGAAATTATACATATGTACGGTCAAAGGTCAAAAGTCCACTGCCACCGGAAGACTACTATCGGTTGCGCTGCAGCGCTTATACACACATGCACACGCATATTTTTATCCGTGTGCGTACGCGTGCGTGTGTTTATGCGTACGCACGCGTGTTTATGCACATTAATATGAAATTACTTACGCATTGCCGTGTGAACATCACTCACGGTGGCAGTGGACTTTAGACATTTGACTGTACATGTCAAATATGTTATAGGTCGCTTCTTTTGCCAACTATCTTATTATGTAAGTTCCAATTAATAGAGTCATAACAGGGTTATTCTATTCGATTCATACCCAGATTTAAAAAAATCAAAAAATTAGATAACCTCATTCAAATGTCTAATAAGTGAATGAAAGCATCGTTATCAAGACGAAAATTGAAATATCAAAGAAAAAAACCACTTATATAGGGTAACTTATTCCCTATTTTAATTCAATATTCCTCTCCGAGCGGGGTCAAGGTTCAAGTCCTAAATGGTACGCAGTTTATACAGAATAGCTTTGAATAGTCGAGATCGTGGCTGGGAAGGTTTTGCGACAAGAATTCAAAAAGGTATGCTTTGCCTTCGACCGCGGCGCGTCGGATAAACGACAGTCGATTAGCCAAAAGGTTTTACGATGGGAATGAGGGTGTGCCACCTTTTTGACATTTCCACAGATTTTATTGAGTTAAGATTTTTTATGTGAAGTCTTTCCATGAACAAATGTTGACAGTAACTTTTCTTTAACATAACATAAGCCTTCAATCCCCGAAGAGGTAGGTGCTATGCCACTGTACAATGTAACACCCATTTTGCACTATTTATGTTATGAGTCCCATGTAATAGGTGGTGAGCCTATTGCTACTATACTGGAAATTTAAAAAAAAACGAGTAACTTGACTTTGCCCGACCCTGGAATCGCACCCGAGACCCTTTGCCCGGTCCCACTTGGGATCACTTGGCCTACGAGGCAGTCAACTTTTCTTTAATTGAGACCTAAACTAAGTGTATCTTGGATGAAGGTTAAGTAAGATTAAGTAAATGATGTTATTTTAAGACGCTCTCATTCAACTTGAAAGGTGAATTTGAATATCCAAGACTCATGCGTCCGAATAATGAGAGGCTACTGAACTTTAAGTTGTATTATCAATCAATATCGTGCCATCTGTAACATTTTAAAAAGAACTTGTAGTGACAAAACTATATTTAAGAGCGACTTAAAATTCAATAGCCAGTAGTCGGGTTTAGGTCTTCCAATACCCATGGCAAAACCACTAAGACCTATACAGACATGGTTCTGTGCATTTTCTGTTAGACTTATTTTTTTAATAAGCTAACTTCTTTATTCTTCTTTTTATCTTTAATGTATATTTATGCATATTTATGTCTTGACTTTCCATGTTTGATAGGGCAATAAGTAGAAGAAAACCCTTGAAAAGCTATATATCATTTATTTTTTTCTCTATCCTCATATACGTATACGAATACACGAAACCCTTGCCTTTATCCAGGATAGGTAGAAACCAAAAGCGCTCCACGATGATTTTTATAATTCAGAAACAGTAGTGGTTCTTGCTACCCTGTAAAATTTAACCGTAGGACAAAGAGCAAGCCCAAGTTACGATAAATAAAATGTAAAATAGGTTAGTTGGATATTGTGATTAATTACTGAATATTCTATTTACAGGCCATCCGTGAAAATTGGAACTTAAAGTTTAGTGCGACATACGTTTTGTGTTTGTTAGCCGATTCAGGAGTGAAGCCACATGAGACAGTTGGGGCTTCGGTGGCAGTACTGGCCACTGATAAACTAAACTCACTTCCAACCAACCTACTCATCGTACAAGATACAGAACCGAAACCAGGAATCGAGGTAAACTTTATTTTTTTTAAAAACGTTGCCCCACATTAGGATTTTCTCCTGTGTCGTGGGTGCGTTTACAAACATACAAGTTCACATACACATGACACCCAGACCCGGAACAACAATTTGTGGATCACACAAAGTGTTGTTCCGTGCGGGAATCGAACCCGCGACACGTTGCACGGCAGCCGGTTGCCCAGCCACCGCACCAACCGTGCAGTCGATGTTTGATTTTTGTTATAATGGTCACATAACAGGCTACTGGTTCCAACCGCTGCCCGGTTCCTATTGGTCTTAACTCGTCGAGTACCGTCATTATAGACCAATAGTTACAATAGTAGACACAATTATAGAACAATAGGTTGCGGTCACCGGTGACCGCTTGGTGTTTGACAGTTTAATGTAATGTTTTATATCTCTTAACCTTCCTTGACAAGAATATTGCTTCCGATTCGAACAGTGTTGTATGTGAATGTGATGCGGACGAGTACTTTGACGCCTAATTGGCTACTTTCTTAATTGATAATAAAGTATTTCGACTGTTCAATACAATAAAGTATTAAAAAATAATCACACTTTCATTAATTGATTTTATGACCATCTCAAATTTAGTATTTTTCCAACAAAATTTATAAAATAAGTGTGCTGTGTGACGCTTATAAAACGCGACGTCACAATCACAATACACAATCTCGTATAAAATTCATAGAAAGCTGTCTGTCGTTTTTGACAGTTCGAAAAAGTATTGAATTTGACTAGTTGGCAAGTAGGTACTCAAGTAAAGGTATAATTTTTTTACATGTTTTTTTTATTCACTAGTTTAGTTGTAGTTAATTTTAGATAAAAATATTTATGTAATTTTCTTCTGTGACAAAAACTAGAGGATAGATGCCAAAAATTCTGTTAGTGTCGTAAAACAGCTATTTGTGCGAAATCGTAATTCGTCGATCCATTACGATAAATTAGTAATTTCGTTGTTATTAATCGAATAAAACTGGGCTCGCTGCCATTGCAGCGGTAAGTCCCCTCTTTGAGGAGTGGCTTGAGAGACGCTACGGCGTCCTCACCTACCGCCTGACGCAGGTCCTCACCGGACATGGGAGTTTCGGGAGGTACCTGTGTCTGATGGGGCGGGAGGAAACGCCCGGGTGTCATCACTGCGAGGACCGCCCTGAGGACACGGTGGAACACACGGTGGGAGAATGCCCTTCGTGGGCTGAGCACCGCCGTGTCCTCAGGGAAGTGATCGGCGATGGCGACCTCTCGCGTCCGGGCCTAGTGCAGGCCATGATGCGGAGCGAGGGGGATTGGGATGCCGTCTCCTCCTTTTGCGAAGCAGTCATGCTAGCTAAGGAGGAGGCGGGACGCGTGAGGCAGCGAAGCGCTGCCTCCTCGCAACCCAGCCATCGCGAAGGACACACCGGGCGTCGGGGATCGCGGGACGATCTCCGGCCACCGTAAGCGCGGGCCTGCGGACGGCGAGCATGGGTGGCTCCCCGTCCGACCAGAAACAGACCCGAGCGTACGGCGCGTCGCGTTCCGCGCGCGCCTCAAAGAGCCATCAGACCACCACAGATGGGGCCCAATACGGCCGATGCCGATTCGGAGTCGCGGAGAACCTAACGGGTAACCGGGGCTCCGGCTCGACGTGCAGGAGAAGGAACGGGGTGGTTTTTAGTCAGTAAGAGTCTGACACTCCCTCCCGCCTCACCCAGGCGGGAGCAGTCATTCGATGATTTTCCCCCCTTAAAAAAAAAAAAATCGAATAAAACGACATTCGAACAGTACTGCCAGATATTAGTTGGTCCGAACAAAGGTTTTAGTTTTATATTATGTTGTAAAGATATAAGAAATAATGAACAGTGTAATTGTATATTGAAAGAATAAATACAAATACAATACATTTCCCCATTAAATATAATATAATATAATATAATATATAACACTCGTAAGTTTAAACGTGTACATAAATATCAACAGGGAGTGAAATCATCTTAATGAGTGACAAATTGAATAAAAAACAACAGTGCGTCTAATAATGTGACCACGGACTGTATGTTATAGCTAAGTCTGTGACGAAGAATCGGTCCTAGTAATAATAATGTTACGTAATCATTTTTCAGGAAAATCTACACATATGTGTGAAGCCGTTCCACTTCTCGTTCAACCGCTTCGATTGGCTGGTGGAGTGGTTTGAGATGAACCGGCTACTAGGCGCTAGTCACTTCTACATGTACAATCAGTCACTCAGTTCTTCCGTCGAATGCCTGCTCGAAGATTATCGCAAGAAAGGTCTCATCACGTTGCTTTCTTGGCAACTTCCTATATTATCAAAGGTGGAAATCAGGTAAATATGATTTATATTTATTTTAAAACTCACTAAAGGTATACTAAATTAATTGTTATGTTTTTTCGGCTTAATCACGTAATTGGTTGACTCGACTAGTTTTAAGCCATAATAGAGGCTCATGTGCATGAGCAGCGTTTCGCGACCCGCAACGCGGCGACTGTCGCGCTACTACTGACTTGAAAGTAATCGAGATGCTCGTCAAACAGTTGTACGTGAGTGAGCCAAAAACATAACAATTAAATTTAATTTATATTTCTGACTAAGCGCCTGTTTCACCACCTCTAAATAATGTGACAAATAGTTCATGCAAATTACGTTCTTAATTCGAATTCATCTGGTACATTGTGCCTATCCACATATTATCTCGCCTCAAAGAACCACCAGACCACCACGGATGGGGCCCAATAGGGCTAATGCCGATACTTCGCCCATGGGGCGATCCGATGGGGCCCAATAGGGATAATGCGCTTCGACGAACGAAGCGCAGGAGTAGGAACGGAGTGGTTTTTAGTCAGTAAGAGTCTGACACTCCAACCCACCTCACCCACTGGCGGAAGAAGTCATTCAATGACTTTCCCCCCTTAAAAAAAATCCACATATTATTCTATAAGTTAATTAAAATAATGAAGTACGTAATATATGTAATGAAATTGACGATACAATTTTCTTTTAACGGTAATTAGATAAAGCAAATGGAAGTTTACGAATGTAGCCTCGCTACGTTATCGCTTAGAATTAAATGTAATAAAGCGTATCGTTACGCACCAATTCAAATCAATCTACTTACCGTTTACAATGAGATTGAGTTTAGATTAGCTAGAAAAAAAGTCGTGTTTTGTTTTTGGTCTGTTGGAATGAAAATTAATCGACTTTAAAAAAAGAAGATCGCTCTTAATTTGACCAGTATGCATGTAAGCATGTATGTATGTGTGTGTGGCGCGATTGTCTCGCGATTGGCTAATCCGATTTTAATACGGGCTTCAGTAAAGTATTCGTTACACTTAGTAAAAGGTTTTAGGTCCGAATACTGAATATCTACTTAATTTTAAGACGCGTTTAAGTATCGTTCTGTCACTATAAATTCTTTGTAAAATGACAGAGATGGCATGATATTTGAGTTCAACTTGGAATTGAGTAACCTTTCAGTATTCGAGCGCATGTATATTATATAACTTATTTAAAAAAAGAGAAGGTTATAGTCGGTTTTTTTAAACGAGGTTTATGAAAGAAGTATTGAATGTGGTTTTGCAGAACAGAAGGCCAGTTCGCGGCGTTCAACGACTGCCTATACAGGTCGATGTCCCGCACTGGTTGGCTGCTTGTGATAGATGTGGATGAAGTAGTGTTCCCGCGGAGGGAGCGCACGTTACCTGCCTTATTGACGTCTCTGAGAGCGTCATATCAACCGCGCTCCAAAGCGCCATCTGCATTCTTATTCCGGAATGCCTTCTTCTATCTTCTATGGGAGGTAAGGTTTTTGAAACTTCTTTTTGTTGTTTAGAATTTTATTTATATGGTTATTGTTTTGATATTTAGCTCGTCGAGTACCGGTTTTGCAGACACAATTATAGAACAATAGGTTGCGGTCACCGGTGACCGCTTGGTATTTGACAGTTTAGAAGTGTTACAATAAAAAAATATAATTTTCCATGAATATTTTATACAGTTTTTTTGTACAATAAAATGTTCTGTTTCTTTCCAGGATGACTCTGAAGTTAATTCGCCTTTACTAATGTTTCGTAAGACGAGGCGGTGGAGTACACCACACTCGTTGAAAAACCGCAGCAAGTACGCGCTAAGGCCGCGTGATGCTGTGGAGCTTGGCAACCACTTCGTGTGGGAGCTCGCGCCTGGGGCCAGCTCCATCGGTGTCAACACCGACAGGGCACTGCTACACCATTATCGGGTAACTATGTTTTAAAAACTTCACACCTTTCATGTTAGACAAATAACATTAACAATCTGATTTAATCTAATTTAAAATTGTATTAATTAATTTTTTCTTAAGAAATAACTTCCACTATAGATTTAAAATTAATTTTGCAGATGAACTGTGAGTTTGGTGGCGTAGTCTGCATACAAGTTCCTTCAACAATAGACAGGACAGCGCATCGGTGGAAAGACGAGTTATTGGACCGTGTGACTACCCAACGCAAGAAGCTAGAAGCCGCGGGATGCGTCCAAAAAGTAGTAGGACAATAAATTAAAACAATTGAATTTTTTTTTCTTTCTTGAAAGGCAACCGAGTCTCCAATACAGTGTTGTCGAGTATACTGCCAGTGCAGAGTGGTGACGGCAGATCTATAAACCGTCGAAATTTAACTTTGTGGTAGTTGTTAGTAGCTGGGAGGGACAAATCAACGTATATGTTTGAATTTAGATCACTAAAATTTACAACAATCGTAGTACTGATATAAGCGTATGTGTACCCTTCACTTCTATCGACGGCAGAAAACAATTGAAGTTATCAGTAGGTAAAAATCGCTGACTATGTTGAACTATTTTCATTGACAGTGTTTAAGCTCCATTAGCAATGTTCGAAATTATAAACCTGTTACGTATTATTTAGTATTGTAACTACCCTAACTCTTGATTTTAATAACTTATCTTACTCATCCGAAATATCTGGATCGATTTTGATGTTTGACAGAAACTTCTTACAAGCAAATCGATCAATAAAATGATCAGGATAATTAGGTATCCATAGATTTAGAATTGAGATAAGTTATTGAAATCTACAGTAAAAAGGTCACGTCAGAACCCATGGTTCATGGAAAACAATAACTATTTTATCGTTTATCAGTCGTCATATGAATATGATGAGTCTTTTATTAGAGAAAATAAATATCACGACTATTAGAAATTATGTCACAAATGTAGTGCTGGACATCGACGGATAAAGTGAACAGATGACTCGATATATTGCGCTCGGTGCAAAGTGTGACAGCCGAGTAAGAGGTATCGGGAAAATACTTTACTTCTAATACCCGGTATTGACTTAGTACTAAAATTACGATAGCATATTTGTACAAAGAGTTCAGAAACATCTTTTATTTATGTACCTATTAAATTTTTTTATGGAAAATGTATGTCATCGATATTTTTTTATAATTTTTAATAAGATGTCGTAATATTTATTAGATTTAGTTTATGGACGACTTTATTGTAGATTAGTTAAAATGGGCATTTAATTTTGCGATTTTTTTTTACTTTACATTAGTTTGCATTTACGATATCTTATCCTACTAAAACTATAAATGCGACAGTTTGTATGTTTGTTCCTTCACGTCAAAACGGCTGAAGGGATCGGGATAAAATTTGGAACAGGGGTAGATTATGGTCTTTTTTTTAAGGGGGGAAAATCATCGAATGTCTGCTCTCGCCTGGGTGAGGCGAGAGGGAGTGTCAGACTCTTACTGACTAAAAACCACCCCGTTCCTTCTCCTGCACGTCGAGCCGGAGCCCCGGTAACCTGTTAGGTTCTCCGCGACTAGATTATGGTCTAGGATCTTTTCCCCGCGGGGATGCAGGCGACGCCGCGGGCAGAAGTTAGTTTTTTATAAATTGAACTATTTTTAGTGGGGTATATTTATCGAGTTTTTCAGTACTTCGGAAATTTTCAGCAAAAGCACGGATTCTGACGTTGTACTCGGTGTATGAAAACAGACTCGTTTTGTATTAATTACGTGGGCCTTATAACGTTACTGGCGAAAAGTGGGTGTTACGTAAAATATATGCACTTTGTGCTCCCCAGCCTTCCCTTCTGGGGAAAAAGGGGGATCTTAAGTTATTTATAATAGGTGTAATGTCTTATGTCGTATGCATAGTCAAGTGATATGTGTGGAACTACCTACGGAAATTATAAACAGATTGGGGGTATTCTGCCCGCCACTCGCACATTCGATGTCCGTCTCTTCTGTATAGGTATATTATTTTACTCTGTGGTCCACCTGGTCTGGAGTAAAGACGTAACACGCATCGCAGAGTACTTCAATTTGAGAAATTATAAAGAATGTTCGGAAACTGTCATCTTCCTGTTGATGTACTTACTCGTACCCTATCATAACAAGTAGCCCAAGTACAATATGCGTATGTAAAGATAAGTGCTTAAATATTATTATTGTAATATTTAACGGAAATATTGTGCCATTCTGGTTTTATATCGATTTGCTCAATGTCCCGACAACATTATCAGTATTAATTCCAGCAGTCGCCCAGTCATTTTGTTTACGTGTCCATGTCATTTATATGGTCGTGATCTAATATCATTTTTATGTTCCTAACATCAACGAACAGTATGAAAGTGAGCAAGTCTTCTTTATCATAAATCCAGGGGCGGTCTGGTGGTAAATGGGGTCCTCGGTCAAAACCAAATATGGGGCCCCCACGTGTGGCACAAAAATTCTAATTACCCTACACAAACAAATCATTTTCAATACTTATAGTCAGTGGTGGATTATACATGTAGCAAGAATCAAGTAGCAATTGCTGGGACCCCGCGTTTTTGAAGATCACATGTATCAAGAGCGTAAAGATAAAAGTGTTGCTAAGCGCAAATTTCGAGAATAGCTTCCTTTTTTTTGTTCGGTCTGTTATTGTTAGGAAAAGATCTTTACATATTGTAATATTTATGCTCCAAAGTCAAAATTATACAGCACTTTACACTAACCACCACCGTACCGTATGACAGTGCACAAGCGACAAGTTGCATTGGAGGATTGGATGCCTTCAGTGCCCTGAAGTATCTTCGAGAATGAAAGTTAGTCAGTATATGTTACCAGTTATGATCTATGGAACCGAAACGTAGTCTGTCACTGTTAGTATGAGCCTCATAGGAAAGCTTAAAGCCACCCAGTACGCCATAAAAATTGCCATAGTTGATGTTTCTTTGAGGGATCCAATCCGAAATGAGAAGATCTATAAATGGACAAAAGTCGCTGACAAAGTCCAGTGGATTAACAAACTGAAATTGCAGTGGGCAGGGTACATAGCTCGGAGAACTGACATATGACGGCCGCTGGGTGGAGGAGGTTCCTTGAAAGGAAACACGTCGCACGTAGTCGCTGGTGCGACATGATGAGTACCAGTGAAATCCCACTGCGAACTGGAGACACGGACTATCTCAGCCGAGGCCAGGCGCGTTGATCTCGTGCATTCTGACTCAGGTCCTTTACGGACATGGCAGTTTTGAAAGGGACCTGTTTCGAATTCAGCAGGAAGAAAACAGCACTTGTGACTGATGTGATCATCATGATGATGATGAAGTATCACCGAGTGCCTTCCTATGTTGTGCGGATTATTGAGTACTGGACTGCAGGTACTTAGGGAGGAGTTCCCACCGAATGCCAGCCTTATTTGTTATGCAGAGGACGAGACTCGGAACTTACGGGAACTCGACTCCCGAAACTGTTATTGTTGTACTGTTGTATTTTTGAGTTACATAACTTCCTTTTGCTCAAATTAAATCCAGTAAATTTTGTTAGTATTTTTTTTTGAAAACAAACGCAAAAAAGTTTTTAAGCTAAAAGCAAATCAAGGGCCCTTTGGTAAGATTTGCTACAGACACCGCGCTGGCTTATTCTGGAACTGAGTACAATAAAGCTAGTTGTAGTTACATTTTTAATTCTAATGGTTAGGTTAAATTGTAAAGCGATTTAGGGGCCCCTATATCCCGGGGCCCTCGGTGATCGCCGACACGCTTGTATGGCCAGACCGCCCCTGCTTAGAATCTGTCTGTGTTTACATTTTTTTTTAATTTAATTATTGAGTAACAGGCTGCTTTATAAAAATCATGTTACTTAATGGCATCGAAAAAAATACCACTAAACTGAACCAATCTTACAATACCTACAATCTTTTAGTACTACATACTTTAACTAAACATACCTAATTTTAAGAATTTGTAAATATGAAATCAGTTAAATGTAAATCAAAAATCATCAAAAAACTTAATGTATTTTCGACTTTATTGTATTTTACTTTAGAGTCGATTTTTTTTAACTTTAGTTATATTGGGGAAATAATAAAATTGTACGTAGATTCTAGTTAAGTACATAAAATTAGTTGTTATAATTAATTGAACAAAGCGATCTGATGAGGGGATTAAGATTTAGTGAATTAATTCAAGTAAATGTACATAATAATAATTATAATCGCCATCTAAATATTGTACTTAAACATACATTATATGCACATCTATGTTAGGTAATTATTTTGTACTATGAAATGTTGTTTAGCCAAGTCATGTTATGTTTGATGCTTGATTACACTGCTTTTGAAGTCTTTCATTGTTACCCTACTGTTGTGAATAACTTCTTTTTCATAAAGTTGAACTTTTACCTTATTATAGTCATTTATGATGGATACAAGAGCTATTTTTCTGCTCCCAATATAAAGCAAATACTATGTATAACCAATCATCATTGTTTTATAAAAAGTACGTTATTCTAAATTTAAATTAGAAATAAAATTATATAAATGCGCACAGAAATCGCTACCATTTTAATATAAAATGTTTAAAAATTAGTGGCGAGATTGTTGTCAGGTAATGAGAAAGGGATGTCCAATATGAATTGTGACGTCATCGCCAATATACGAACGTGTGCGAGGGAGTGAGCGATGCTCCCACTACGCCCCAACTCTTCATTATGCCTTGTTCACACTACGCTAGTATTTTAGTCGAGTAGCGAAAATTCAGTAGTCTTATCTCTCTTCTGTCCCAAAATGGAAATGAGAGAGAACTACTAAATATTCGCAACTCGACTAAATTACTAGCGTCGTGCGAACTAGGCATTGCACTCAGTAAATTATTATTACTGATTTTGATGCTAAGCATAGCATTAATTGCTTGTTTTTCTTATAATATTTTGTGAATAATACCTGATATACAAACTTTGAACTACCTTGTAGAAAGCCTACAAACAGGCCCTAATTACTTATAGGTATTACTTATAATAATTTTACACATTATTTATCACTGCTTCACCTGTTATTCATTCTGTCGCCAATTATTCAAAAATTCTATTCAAATTTCATCAATTGTAAATATGTGACGTCCTTTACCATGAACATCTTGCCAGCAAAAGTATTGTATTAAGCCAGAAATTCATTGATAATAACAGTCAAAATTGTCCATATTGCCATCCCATTATTAAAAAAACATATCAATGGAAAAGTGAACCATGAATCAAGCTTTTTTGTAATACTTTATTTTGTAAATGTTTATCGATTTAAAAGTAAATAGGTTACATTGTGCATTATAATGAGGACTTTCGCGCCACCAGAGGCGCTGGTGTAGCTTAAAGTCTAATGCCAATAGAATATTTGCCAAAGTCATCGAACTGGTAATTGGATCAATAGGACCTTAAGTCTCACTAGCGCCATCTAGTGAGAGCAAAATTGAAAATCCTCATTATATACCTAATCTTATTTCGTATTTTTAACGGCTTATATGATAGTCAAATTATGGAATGTTTAGTTTTATATTACGTATATCCCATTTGATTATGAGTGTAAAATTGAAACTCGTATGTTTTTCATGAATGTAAGTAATAATATACAGTATAAATTAGATTAGTATCTTACAATATTTTCATGCATTTATATTGGATTTTATTATTCATTGCTGTCTGAAGATCAACAAGTTGTATATGTTGTTGTTATATTAAATACTGGTACATAAATAAACTTGAAATGCAAGTTTCAACAATACAGGAAGATTTTTAGACCTATTCAAATTTAATCATTCAAAAAAATCTTTGATTAAAATTACCTATACCTATGTGAATAAGATGGCGTCAAAGATCATCCTGTATAAAGCCGCTTAGGCCCCAAAATAAAACATGAAAATACAGTGACGCCCGAATACTGAAAGAATACTAAATTTTAAGTCGCGCTTATGTAGAGGTATAGTTCCATCTCTACAAATTCTTTGTAAAATGACAGAGATAGCACGATATTTGTGTGCAACTTAAAAATGAGGAGCCTTTCAGTATTCGGACATTATGATATAAATAAATTATTATGTTTTCGGCTTACTTACGTAATAATTTGACGAGGAACTCGACTAGTTTCCAACATAATAATTTATTTAGTATGTCTCACGAAAGTTACAATACACAGATAGTTATGATTTAGTTTAACAAATTATTACAATAATATTGTTACTCCAGGTTTCTAGAACAATGCTCATACCGATATATACCAAACTATCTACATATTACATTTGAGCGCAAAGAAACGGAACAATTAGCGTTTTTTTATTTTATGTAACGCTCTAAAAACATCAATACTATTTATACGACACACGTTATCAAAATAAAATACTCTTATTATACACTCA